ATGTATCTGTATACAAATGTAATGCACTTCTCTTTGCTACCACTGTCCATAGTGGTAAGTCCATAATAACAGGTCTGCAAATTTTGCAGTCCTTTCTCTGCTTGAAGTATAATATTTTCTTAATGACATGAAAATACAATGAAATCACAGGATCTTTTTTTTTTCCAAGCATGATGAGTCATCTCATTGAGCAAAATAATTTTAGTGTCGCAGTTCCATGTTTCAAAAACCATTGCAGTTCTCATGCATATATTTAAAGACTCATAATTAATTCTATCTACTTGTTTTGACATTGCATAAAAGATGACCTACTTGGACACACAGTGATTTTAATAAATGAGGTAAAAGRAATCTGTAATTACAAAGTTAAATAGTGAAACTATAGATGTCATAGATAAGCATGGAGGTGAAATTTTGGACAAGGAAGTGACAACTCAGCACTGTAGCCTAAACACCCACAAGCTTTCAGCCTTCCTTCCAYTGGTCTTTTCTGCTCAGTGTTCTAGAATAGGTTTATTTTTCAACAGAGCTACAGGGAAAGGAAAAATAATTTTTCAGATTCCCATAAAATAACTGAAAACAACAGCAATTTCCAAATTGATGGCAATTCCCAAGGTAGGGATCACAACTCTCTTKCTGCATCCAACAGAAAACTGCTACTTTGTCATACTATTTGGAATCACAAGCCCAACAGCAGGGATCGTGCCTGTTTCCAGCTCACAAATGAGGTCAGCTCAGAAGTTGGTTGCAGATCCCAGTTTCTAGACAAGCAGCAGAGAGTGGAGTGGAAGGTAACAGGATGTATTCCAGAAGATAATCCTGAGATCATGCTTCTGGGTAGGGCTGCCACTCCCAGTTACAGCTACATGAACTTCTTCACCACAGCTTCCTCCTGGCCCTGCTGCAGCTCCCAGAAGGATGAGGACACTCACCTGCTATCCCATTCTGGAAGCAGAGCACAAGTCAATAGCCCAGAAGCAAAGAGGGACCAGGAAAGCAGGAATCCCTCTCAGATACATCTCCAGGGACTGGCTACCATTCTCATCCCCTTTCTTGTCTAACCGGCTCTTCYCATCTGCCTGCCAACAACTATTGCTTAATTAGGCAGCCACCTTGTCAGAAACTGCTTTATTCTGGTGCCAAGAACAGAGATGAAGAAGGAAGGAGGCAAGAGGGGGTACCTACTCAGGTAGATCAACAGTCAAGGAGAGTAAGCAGGCTTTTTGGAAGAAGGTTAAAAAAAATCCTGTGGGTAAATTTCTTGTTTTTCATCCTCCTCTGAATTCCATCCAGGCCTTTCAGAGTCTGAGCTGGATAGATTAAGAATTTGAAAAGGGCAATTAAACAAGATGTTTAAAGATTAGAAAGGGGTATATTACAATCAAAGAAATTCATGATGATAAACAAATCCCAAGAAGACCCTGAAGACAAAGTGAATAATTCAGGCCAAAGTTGAGATACCAGTGAACCACAGGGAAAGATGTCATATTTGACAGACCATGGAAAGCAGTGGCCACGGAGTCTTTCCAGCACACCACCCTGCAAAAATGGGGRTTGAGCCTTTGCTTACTGCCAGCATGGTCTGTACTCTGGTTAAATATGTCTGTGCACTGCTTGGTCCAGCCTTTTCCAGAGCTAACCCTTGGAGCATACAGAGCGTAAGTTGTAACAGTGTGTTTGGATATGGCCTGTAGCTATTATGGCTACAGCTTTCAAATGTGAATGCTGTACGTCAGATAACAAGACCTACAGCATTTATCTCACTTCTTTAATCACCTGAAAGTAGATAATTTGAATCTAAGTTATCTTAAGCTCCTTTTATAAGCAGTGGAGAAGAAAAAGCATCTTTCAAGGACAAGTTATCTCATGATAAGACAGGCATCCAAATCAGAAGGAATTACTTCCTCTCTGAAGATGATATTTCTCTTCAGATCCTAGAGCTAGCTTAAGACAACTAATTAAAATTAATATGCCTATTGTGAGGTATCTAAATTAGGCAACATGAATCCCATCAAATATTCAGATTCAAAGCTCTAAATGAATGGCCATCTCTGAAAACTAAATCAATTATGTACCTGTGAAAACATTAATCTATAACAAATCTTTATCCTAAGATAAAAAGTTATACTCACCTGATATACTTTTTTTAGTTTCCATTGATTGAAGTCAGTAGAAATATAGTTTCCATTACAAGTTTTGTTTGGTGTTAGGGTGACCTTTAAAATTAATGCAATTTATATACTTGTTAATGTTTTGGGGGTTTTTTAATCCTTGATCTTGTTTGATTCTGATGCCATTTTAGTAAATATCTGCATGAAACCAACTTCTTTTTCTTTAAATAGGCCCTTCTTTTTCTGCAAATAGCCTTCAGTTGCTGATGTTTTCTCATACATTCAAATATCCAATTCAATAATAATGGCCTTGTAACTTGAGGTTGGTTCCATTTTGCATTATCATTATGGTCACATCTTTAATTATGTAATTGATGTCTCATACCTTCCAACTCCAGCAAGCAGGGAGACAAGGATCCTGAGGATAAAAATTTCCTACATAGTTTATTCTTACAGCATCATTCCTCATGAATAAATACACAGCGTTCTGGGAAAATTACTCCCACTCTACTCCACCTTCCTCATTTTTGCCCTTGTTATTCTAACACTTGCAATTCCTATTACTCAGTGAGTTAATGCTCACATACCTGTTTCTTCTCCTCTTTAATACCATGTAACAACTGCATTTTATCCCAGCAGTTTCCTCCTTGCTTTCAGYGTACACATACACACTGAAAGCACAGAAGAGTGACCTTCACAGCTTTTAGCTTCAGGATTTGGCTTCATGTGTTTATAGGAGATGGGAATGGTAGGGAAAATTCTGGCTGATCCCAGGCTGCACAGAGCTTTTAGAGTCAAACTATGGGGATGGTTTATGTGTAAACTCATGGCCTGTTCATCATCCACTGCATCAGATTGGAAGATTAAATCACCATCACAAGTTTCTGTGTGCTAACCTGCATTCTCTCATTCTCATTCAACATTAATTCCTGGCCTCCCTTGCTCTTTTCYTGAACTGGTACCCAATACAAAACTGACTCTGCACAGCATCAGTGTCCTCRTGAAAAGCCTTTGGGATGGCAACTGCTGCACTTCCCTCAGGTGCCCCTGCACTCAAGGCACAGAGACCCACGACACTTCATTTGGAGGCAGTAAGTGGCGGTGAGATGTGTCTTCCCCATGTTCATCGTTATCATACTACTACTCTGGAAATCTCACCAGTCCTGGTGCATTCTGTGGTTGCCTCCTTCTGTCTTGCTTTTATTTCACATACTTATTCCCATACGATTAGGCACAGATTTGAGGGTGAGAAGAGGTGGTGATGGTAGCTATTTCTTCCTTACTAAATCCTGTGGAAGACTGGAAAAAGCTTTATATTTCATTGTATTTGTATACTAATTGTTGGGGTCTTTTTCTTTATGCATCTCTTATTTGAGATTACTTTCCCTGTTTATCCCATTGAAAATATTTTTATGCCTAAAAGAAAAAAAAAAAAAAGTAAAGGCTTAAGTGCAAGTCCATCTCTGACAAAGTTAGTTAGCTTCAGCTACGAGGTGCAGATAAAATGCTTATAACCCAGACTGAGAGAAAGGCAGCCATAGCAAAATACTCTATGTTAGCACCAAAAAAGTCAATTCTAAGGTTGTGCTAAAAGTTGCACTTTGTGGCCATGAGACAAAGAAGAAATGAAGAAAATATCTCATGCTCACAGATCAAGAAAGTAAGTTCCGTATTAGTAGAACATTTTTTTTTCCTGRGGAAAATAATATGGAAAAARGGGAATAAAAAAGGATGTTCAGGAAGCCCTCTTATTTGCATGAATAATTTTATGCATTGATTATCAAAATACACCACAGAGTGTGCTTTCACAGTATCCCAGAATGCTTTTCAAGCTGTAAGTGTTAAGGCATGACTTATGACCTTACTTTGGGCCAAGGGCCACGTGCCTTGGGTTTTAACACAACAGTAACACACTGCAGAAATACAGAGAGCATTTCACTAAGAACAAACCTTAAGAAGAGAATCCAGACAGAATCTGGCAACAAAATAAAACCTTTCAATGATGAAATTGATTGATTTTTCATACCTTCCCCTCACAATTCTGACACTGACATCAGCAGAAAATAAAGGTCCAGCTACCTGCAGGTATAAATAAGAGGAGCTGCTTTTGCTTTCTCACTGACTCCMATGAGAATCCCATCCAAGGGCCATTAGCCAGTCTTCTATGCCTACAAAGTGAGYATTTTACTCTGACAATACGTCAGGGGCCCTGACAGAGATAGAATGGATTTCCTCAATTAGAATTTAGCCAACATTTGCATTTAATGAAGCTATTCTTAGAAAAAGTGCCARAAAAGCAATTTTTATTGATCACAAAATCAATATTGGTCATGGCCTCCACTTCGCAGCTCATGCAAATACCAAGTGCTGCCCTGCTCCAGCTCACATTCTCTCCTCAGAAAGGATGAAAGGCAGAGCGTCATCTTGCCTGTGAACACAGGCTGGGAGAGCTGAGATTGCTCAGACTGAAGAAAAGGCAGCTGCCAGGAGTTCTTGTTGCAGCCTTCCAGCACCTAAAGGCAGCCTATAAAATAAAGATGGAGACTTTTTTCAAGGGCAGGTAAAAAGGGATAGTAAAAAGGGAAACAGTTTTGAACTGAGAGTAGCTTTAGACTAGATAGGAAAAAGAAATTCCCTGTCATGAGGATGGTGAGGAACTGGARRAGGTTGCCCAGAGARGCTGTGGATGTGGATCCCTGGAAGTGTTCAARRCCAGGTTGGATGGGGCTCTGAGCAACCTGGTCTAGTGGAAGGTGTCCTTGCCCATGGCAAGKRGGTTGGAACCAGATGGTCTTTAAGGTGCCTTCTAAGACACATTATTATAGGATTCCATGATTCCACTTCACTGATTTCCCACAGCTCTTCGCCCTGTCTTACACTTCTCCCACCTAATGGCTGGTCTAAACCTATTCTGGTGACTGCAACTTGCTGGACACACCTTGTTAAAAACAGAACAAAATATGATTAAATTCAGGTTTCATTTCACACGAGATCTGGGTCAGGTCTGACAATACTGTGTGAGCTACTCCAAGAACTCTCTGTCTCTACGCCAGGAGACGTCCTGCTCCTTTCTCAAGCTATGGCTTCATGGACCCTCCTCTCTGCTGGCTCTGGCCCTCTGATGAACTGATCTAACTCAATAGCCCAACAGGAAATTAATCCAACTAAGGAAAAAGGGATTATTTTCCATTTTGTTAGAGTGCTGAGGGATAAAGTGGAAATAGTCCTTCTGCAGAAGGACTGCAGAAGCAGGCTGCTAGGTCAGCTCAGAGGTACCAAAGTCATGCTCACGTACTACCTAAACACAGCACTACCTAAGTGTGATRCTCCTGCTGCCACAGACAGTGACAGAATACAGGACCAGGTGGATGACTGCTGTCAGCAGCAGGGTATTTGTTATTTCTTCAAGTCTAGCTACCATCAAAGGGCTTCTCCCACTTCTGCTGAGTGTCACAGTCTTCTTCCCTATTTGGGTGTTGGTACCTCTTGACCCAGCTGTGGGCTGGTTTGAAGTTTTACTTAGCAGAAAACTGATCTTGCAAAGGAAAAAAAACAAACAACTTTTTTTTTGCTCCAATGTGTCTCAAAACTGCCTTACTATGGTGCTACTGCTTTACTCAGTGCAGAAACTGAGAGGGACAGAGGGCTTTTGAGCATCCTATGTCCCCAACCCATCAGGCCATGAGAAGCTCCTTTGGTATCACTCTTCACAGCACTTCCAGTTTCCAAAGCTGGGCAGTTTTCTAGGAAAAAAGCTCCTTCAAATGGCAGGCTGTGGCAGTATGGGACTTTGCAGCCCAGAGGTAAAAGATGTAGTACATGAACCCCTTAAAGAAAGGTTTATGGACTGGAGAGATCTCCGAGGTCCCATCCCCTCGTGCCAGTCCAGTGAGATGTGCAGTGGACACAGAGCCAGGAACCTTTCCAAAATAACAGGGCTGGGAGAACTGCTTTGTGTGACCTGGGAACATGGACCACAACAGACCTCACCCAGACAGGAAATATTGCAAAGTCCCYCCTAGCTTCATCATTCCATGATTTGTCAGATGTCAGCAATATTA